CAGCCCAGACCTTGGGTGTCCACCTATCTGCCTAATTAGAAGACACACCCTCAGAAAACACCAGTCTGTCCTCACAGTGGAGGATGAAGTTGTGTAGCTGGTTTGAATATTCTTATCAACTGTGCATGGCCATGGATCGCAGCCCTAGATGACTGGATTTCAAGTATTTCAGGACTCAAAATGCAGACGATAGACAAACCGTATTGGACTAGATTTGGTCTTTCTTTGTTTCAGTGGGTTTGGCAGGTCCCTGAGGGCCTTGGTCATCTTCATGAGCATTTGTGGTCAGAGTCCAGCCTGCGGTGGTAAAAAGTGCCAAAGAATAGACTCATTTTTTCCTGGCCCTTTGACCACACTCTGGAGAATTTGTTTTTCTTTGTTAAACCCTGATGCCAAGTTGTGCATTATTTGGTTGCTTCTCATGCAAGCAGGAGGCAGATTATGAAACAATTTATCTCTTTTTATTGTTTTTTGGTGGCTTTAGTTTTGCACAAGTGAGCCTTAAAGCACATTTAGGAAGCTCCAATCAAGTGCTTCCTTTTGACTGGTTCTGGAGCTGTTCTACCAAATGGTGGATTTGTTCACTTTTTTTCCCCCTGAGTACTTAGGACAATTGGTGGTGGTAGTAATAATACTTTAACGACAGTAACAGCAAACATTTGTTGAGTGCTTTATATAAATAAACTTGACTAATGCTCCCATTGAGTTTGTTCAGTTTATCTTGTATTCCCTTTCAAAGGAAATTTCAAGAGTTCACACTAGAGAGAGGCTGCTTACTGTTTTTTTGTTTGCTTTTTTTTGCAACTGCTTCAACAACTTTTGCTCTAAATGGAAGGGGAATGAATATTGAGCATCTAGGGCTGTAGGGACATTAAAACCCTTATTATAACTGTGTTCCTTCTGTTTAAAAAATTTAATTGAGACAAGGTGGACAAAAATAAACCTAAGTCAAGTTTCTAGAGATGAAAACTACAGTGTCCAAGATGAAAAACACACTAGATGTGATTAATGGCAGATTAGACATTAAAAGAAAGATTAGTGAGCCTGAAGACATAGCAATAGAAACTATCCAAAATAAAACAGAGGGAAAAAATTTTTTTAAAAACGTGGAAAGAGCGTAAGTGAACTATAGGACAATTTCAGGTGGCTGAAATATGTGTGTAATTGGAGTCCCCTAAGGAGGGAGGAGGGTAACATAAAAAATTTTTGAAGAAATAATAGCTGAAATGTTTTTCAGATTTTATGAAAACTATAAATCCTCAGATCCAGAAAGCTCAATGAAGCACAAGAAAGATGAAGAAAACTAAACCAAAGCACTTCATAATCCAAACTGCTCGCAACTAGTGATAAAGAGGAAATCTTAAAAGCAGCCAGAAAAAAAGACAGATTACATACAGATGAATAAACATAAGGGTGATGGCAGATTTGTTGTCAGAAACCATTCAAATAAGAATACAATGGAGCAACACTTTTAGAGTGTGTGTGGGGGGCAAATTCTCAACCCTGAATCGATGCTCAGTGAAAATGTCTCTCAAAATGAAGGCCAAATAAAGCCTTTTTCAGACATACCGTGGCTGAAAGAAATGATCAGCTGAACTGCACTATAGGAAATGTTAAAGAAATCCCTTTAGGTAGAAGGAAGATGATACCAGGAGGAAATATGAATGTGCACGAAGGAACGAAGAGCACTGGAAATCATAGCTATGTTGTGACTGTGTGCATTTTTCCTTCTTATTTAAGTGTCTTTAAAAGATTATTGACCATTTCAATAAAAATAATAACCATGTAGGCTAGGATTTATAACCTATGTAAAAGTAAAATGTATATAAGAAGAAAATAAAGACTGGAAAGAGAGAAATGGTAGTATGCAGCTGTAAAGGTGCTGTACTATATGTGAAGTGGTATAATATCATTTGAAGCAGGGGGATAAGTTAAACCCTAAAGCAGCTACTGATGATTCTGCTCAGAGACTTCAATCCCCTTGTTTCAATGAATGCTAGAACAAGTAGACAGATGATCAGTAAGGCTATAAAACCCTGGAACAACACAATCTACCAATTTGACCTAGTTGACATTTATATGACACTCCACCCAAAAGCAGACTACACATTCTTTTCAAGCGTAATGGAACATTTATCCAGATTGACTATATTCTGGGCCAGGAACAAGTTTCAACAAATTAGAAGGGTATGTTCTCAAGTATGTTCTCTCCTCAGGGATTCCAAGACCACCCTCAGGTTAGTGGTTCACTAGAAAGACTCACAGAACTCAGAAAAGCTATGGTAGTCATGGTTACAGTTTATTATAGCAAAAGGCTACAGATTAAAATTACTAAAGGCAAAAGGTGCTTGAGGCAGAGTCCAGGAGAGACCAGGTTCAGGCTTTCAGTGGTCTTCTCCCAGTGGGTCATATGGATAGCACTTAAGTCTCCCAGCAGTGATGGGGTGCAGCACTCATGGAGTATCGCCAATCAGGGAAGCTCACTGGAGCCTTGGTGCCTAGGGTCTTTATTGGGAATCAGTTATGTAGGCGTGGAGTGCCCATGGAACTGATCTCAATTATTCGGTTTCCAGTCCGTCTAGAGGTCAGACTGGTAGAGTGTGGCCCAAGGCCTCTACCATAACCACACTTTAAGTATGACATCTGGTGTGGCCCAAAGCCCGAGATATGCAAAGACTCTCTTATCAGGTAGGATATTCCAAGAGCTTAGAGATTCTCTCCCAGGAACTGATCAAGGGCCAGTCCTTTCTTTGGAATGTTCAGAATTTGAACATTCCAAGCCTGTTTAGCCCTTTACTCTATAGACCGTAATGGAATTAATTTAGAAATCAATAACAGAAAGATCTTTGGAAAATTCCCAAGTATTTGGAAATGAAATAATACAATTCTAAAGAAGAAATTAAAAGTTAAATTAGAAAGTATTGTGAACTGAATGAAAATTAAAACACAACGTATCAAATTTTGTAGGATACTGCTAGAGGAATACTTAGGGAGAAATTTATAACTAAGTGCCTATATTAGGAAAGAAAAAAGGTCTTAGATTTATACTTTAGTTCCCACCTTGAGAAACTATAAAAGGAAGAGTAAATCAAATCAATGTACACAGAAGAAAGGAAATAATAAAAATCAGAGCAGAAATAAATGAAGTTGAAAACAGAAAGACAAAAGAGAAAAATCAGTGAAAACAAAATCAACGAAATCAAAAGATTTTTACTGAGAATTTCAATAAAACTGATAAAACATTGGCCAGACTATTCAGGTTAAAAGGGAATTCTACACAAACTCTTCCAGAAAATTGAAGAGGATCAAATATTTCTCAAGTCATTTTATGAGGTTGGCATTTACCCTAAAACCTACCAAAACCAGACAGAGACATTACAAGGAAACTACAGGCAAATATTCCTCATGAACATAGAGGAAAAAAATTCCAAGCAAAATTTTAACAAATCAAATCTAACAATATACAGAAGGAAAATACATCATGGTCAATGGGGTTTGTCCCAGGAAAGAAAGTTTGGTTTAACATTTGAAAATCAGTCAATGTAATTCACCAGATTAAAAAACTAAAAGACAAAAAGCCATAGGATTATCTCAAAGGACACAAAAAAAGCATTTGACAAACTCTGGCATCTGTTCTTTTTAGAAGAATTTTTAAAGGTTTTTTTTTTTTTTAAGATCTTTTTTTTATTTTTCCTTTTTCTCCCCAAAGCCCCCTGGTACCTAGTTGTATATTTTTAGTTGTGGGTCCTTCCAGTTGTGGCATGTGGGATGCTGCCTCAGCATGGCCTGATGAGCAGTGCCATGTCCGCGCCCAGGACCTGAATGGATGAAACACTGGGCCGCCTGCAGCGGAAGGCGCGAACTCAACTGCTAAGCCACGGGGCCGGCCCTGGCATCTGTTCTTGATATAAACTCATAGCAAAATTGGTGTAGAAGGGATCTTCAACCTTTTCTTTTTGGGTGAAGAAGATTTGCCCTGAGCTAACATCTGTTGCCAATCTTCCTCTTTTTTTGCTAGAGGAAGATTAGCCCTGAGCTAACATCGGTGCCAGTCTTCCTCTATTTTGTACGTGGGATGCCTCCGCAGCATGGCTGATGAGTAGGTCTGTACCCGGGATCCGAACCCACGAACCCGGGCCGCCAAAGCAGAGTGTGCAGAACTTTAACTACTCAGCATGGGGCTGGCCCCCAGGATCTTACTCAACTTAATAAAGGGCATCCATGAAAAACTCACAGCTAATGTCAGACTTAATGGTGAAAGACTGACTGCTTTCTCCCTAAGATCAGGAGTGAGGTAAGGATGTCTGCTCTTACCCTTGTACTGGAGGTTCTTAGTACAATGAGGCAATAGATAGAAATAAAAGGCATCTAGATTGGAAAGGAGGAAACTAAACTGTCTTTATATGCAAACAACATGACTGTAGAAATTCTGATGGGATTTACAAAAACAGTAGGAGAACTAATAGGTGAATTTAGCAAGGTTACAGAATACAAGATCAGTATTCAAAAATCTATTGTGTTTCTATATACAACAATGAATAAAAGGAAATTGAAATTAAAACAGTACCATTTACAACAGACTAATAAACTTGAAATACTTAAGGGGAAATCTGAGAAAAGGTTTGCAAGGCATGGACACTGAAAACTACACACCGTTACTGAGAGATGAGAAAGAAGGCCTACATAAGTGAAGAGATAGACTGTTTTATGGGTCGGAAAACTCAATATTGTTAAGATGCCATTTCTCCCCATGTTAATCTATAAATTCAGCATAATCTCCATCAAAATCTTAGCCAACACTTTTCTTTTTTTTTTTAGAAATTGACAAGCAGATTTTACATGGAAATGCAAAGGACTAAGAATAGCCAAAAAACTGAAAAATATGAACAAAATCAGATCACTAACACTACTTTCAAGATTTTCTGGCCCCCTAGAGCAATATTAAAAATTAAGCCCCGTGAAAAACAACTCACCCAGTTTTTGTATGTTTGCTGTTTTAGGACTTTGCCTAGAGAAGTTGCCTATTTCCTCTTCTACCAGTAATCTCCATGTGGACCGGGAACAGGATGTCATCACCTGTTATGAGAAAGCTGGGGACATTGCACTCCTGTACCTCCAAGAGATAGAAAGGGTAAGTGAGGACCATGTGTTCATTCCAGTTGATAATTTTTAAAAATTTCAAATCAGATCATACAGAACTGTGGCCAACCTCTGGAAAGCCTTCAACGTGTCTGCCTCTGGGTTCAAGGCTTGACTTCTATCCTTTAATGCTAAGGAGATGGTGGTGATTGTGGCACCTTGTGAAAATAGATGGGTCAATGTTTGGGAAGCATGTTAACATCCTCAGAGCAGACATGAGAGCATGCATCTGTTTATACCCTCAGCGCCCTGAAGAGGCTAATTATTCTTGTTCTCCTATGCAAAATAGGTTGAGCTTCCTTTGTACTCGCATGGACTCTATGCCTATGTAGGATACCTCTGGGGTTTGGGAGGCTTTACCTCAATGTTTATGTGAAAGGTCTGCTGGGGACTCTCAACTGACCTGGTTGGGGCAGGTTGGGTATCCCCTGAGACCATCTGGGATGGTTTTCTCGCAGCAATCAGTGGTTTGCGCATGGTGTGGGGAATGAAACCAGCAGCTGACAAGAGGGCCACCTGAGGAGAGAAGGAGGGAACAAGACGCCCTGAGCTCACACCTTCAGCCAGAGGAAGTTGGAGGCTGGCTGAATGGTCCCAGAGAGGTGTGGGTGACTTGTCTGTTTAGAAGGATTGCTGTCTTTTGGCTCTACTCTTTACTAAGTTCCCTCACCTCTCTGCCTCAGTTTTCCTGTCTGTGAAAAGAGCATAATGACAGTTCCTACTTGATGGAGTTCTTGTGGGGATTATAAAAGGTCATGTAAATAAAGGCACTTAGCCCAGATTCAGGAACGTATTGGATTCTTAGTAAATGTCACTTATTTTTACTAATAATGGTGGCTCCCAGCCATCTCTGCCCCTAGCGGAGTTTCCTGGAGTTCTAACCAAGGCTTGACACTGATATTTTCCCCTTCAGACCCAGAGATGGATCCTCTGAGGTTGTTTGAAATGATGAGAAATCCTGTGAGACTTTGAAAATGCTCAAAGTCTTGTTTCCCACCAATTTGATGGGTTCTTTGTTTCGTGAAGGATTAGAATAGAGAGGGGCTACCAAAATCTTGCTAGTTTTTGTTATTTTAGACGTGTACAGAGGGGAAGTAATTTTTTTCGTAAATATTTTCATAGTGTGTCGACGTGTATGACGAGGATCAGAGTTGCCTTTTAAGAGGCAGGGAGAGTAGAGTGAGAACCACAGAAAGAGGTGGAGAGAAGGGCGGGAGTGACGGACCTGGCCCCCACCAGAGTGGATTGTAAATCATGGTTCATGACGTCTGGGAATTTGGGAGGATACTTGGCCATCTTGCCAAAATGTTGTTCTATCAGAAGGCTGCTATGAGAAAGGAATTTTTTTGTTATTCAGAATTTTTGATAGGATCTTTAGAGAAATGGTCATGCAGCTTGCTTTTAAAATCCACGTTGTTTCACTGTCTGCCTCCTTGATAGCTACTGCTGGGCAGTGGAGAAGTCTGCTTACCCCAGCTAAACTGTTGACCCCGCAGCCCTTGCCATTAGGGGCCCTTATTCTGCACCTTACTCTCCAAGTGTTCAGCCCTATCATGTTGGGACTGCCTTCTCCTGGCTGGGAGAAGGGAGGTTCGTCTGTTACACGTGTCCTTAGTGACGTGGGAATTGGCAGATCTGGATGTACTTCCTGTCGTGTTCATTTATAACTACCTACTCCCCACTGGATTCTGTAGCCAGACCATCAGAGAGACTCATTTAATCATAGTATTTAAAAGAAATATTTTTTCGTGGTGTTGGGGAGTCAGTGATGATAGGATGTTAGACTTCGAGAAGAAAATAGAGGCCCAGAAAGGGAGGACACACAGGAAGTTAGGGCCAAAACTGGGGTTAGAACTCAACCGTTCTGACACCTCATTCAGCGCTCACTCACTTCATTGTCCCAGGCCGCTGGAAACAATGCAGAACCATGCAGTTTCCCACACTTGTGTATATGGGAAGAGCTCAATAAGTATTTGACCAAGCGAGCTCTGAGCATGGGGAAGCAGCCTCAGCCTAGGCTCAGGACGTGTAGACTTTCACATTTCTGGCTCTGACTTTCCAGCATCAGTTTTCCTTTGTAGGAAACCACTTTGAGCCTCCCCAGATCCAGCAAGCTGGGATATTAGCCCTGGGAGAGACTGAATGAACCAAACATCTGTTTTGACTGTAGTAGCTGCTCAAGAAATTATCTGTTAATTGATGAGAAGTCTAGGGGAAAAGTGACTGCTGGGTTTGGTGGAAGTTCAGGGGTTTTTATGAGGCAAGATAACGGCACGTGCGGAAGATACTTGCTTAGCCTCTTTTTTTTTTTTTTAATTTTTTAACTTAACTTTTAAGAATTATGCTAAATTGAAAACAGAAATGTTAGGGAAATAGAATCTGAAAGAGGTAAGAGACTGGGGCAAGCTTAGGTAAATAGTGCTTTGATTTTCTGGGTGGGCAGCCCTTTTAAGGAGAAACTCCCACGTGCTTCGTTGCTATACTTGTTCTGCTGGACAGAGGCTGGCATTCAGTGGTTTTCTCCTCATTTCCTGGCCATCCTATAGCGAAGAAACTTCTGTTTCCCTGGACCCTTTGGCATTTTATTTATTATTGTTGGCTCTTAACTTCATTCATGAGCAAGAATAAAATTTGAGAACTTTTGAGGACAGTTTGGAGTATGTGGCCTATGTTTTTTCATCATCTGAAGCCACCAAGTGGTGTTTCCAAGGCCCCCCATTCTCTGAGTTTCTCTGATGGTGGGTATGTTCAGTGATGTTAGATTTGTTTGCTTCCTGAAGGGCATTGATTCTTCAGAAGGGAGGCTGACCTCAGCTTCCCCTCAAGGCGGCTAAGTTAAGCTGTGAGAGGCCACAGAGCACAGTGGTAAAGTGACTGCTGGTGTTGGGATCCTGACCTTGCTACCTCTTAGCTGTGGAACTTTGGGCAAGTTACCCAACCTCTCTGTGCTGCTTCAGGATCCTCATCTGTAAAACAGCAGTACTAATTGCTATCAGGCTGTTGTGAGGATAAGATGGGTTAACCCACAGACTTCCCAGTGCCTGGTTAGAACACAGTAAATGTTAGTTTTGTGTCATTATGTGTTCCTGTGTCACCTGGCAGTGGAATCTTCCCTAACCTGAGAAGATTTCAGATATTCAGATAAAAATCTGAACCATCATAAACACACTGTTTTATTTAAAACGTTAAAGAATTTTCAGGGGAATGTTAATAGAGTCATTTTTTCAGGAGAATTTGAGTTTTTCTTTCTTGTACAGAAGCTAATGGGACAATGTCTCGCCAGGAGTCCCCATATCCTGTCTGGGTTCTGGACTTCTGTTCACTCCTGGCTGTCTGCCCTTGCTCCAATCGTTTTCCATTTTCATGGTGGGGCTGAGGCTGGCTGACTTGTCTGGGGATTGGGAACCAGTGAGCCACCGGTGTTTTCCAGCTTTCTATGTGTTATTCCCCCCTCTTGCTCCAAATGTGGAGTGGGGGCCAAAGACAGCTTGAATGTATGAAAGCTGTGTGTGTTACATATTTGCTTGGTGTTGTCCTTGTTATATTAAGGTTACAGAGACATTTAATTTTCTCTGATAGTTTGTTCTCTGAAGGGGAATAAAAGATACCTCTAAAATTGTGAGTGTAAAATAATTTAATCAAATGAATCAAATTAGAGCAGATAGAATTAGAAATGACCTAGGATGGGCTTGATTGGTTTATCTTCAGATGGTGGCATTATGCCGACAGTAAATAAAGTTATCTCCCCCGCAAGGAGCTTGTAGTGGTGCAATGATAGGAATAAAGATGACCTCATCCTTGAATGTCATAATATGAGCCCTGCTTTTGGCGAATGAAATCATCCTGTCTCTGTCCTTTGCGTGCATCAGCCAACCAGCTGGCGATGGCTTTCTTGAGCAGAAGCAGTGCCAGGGTAGAACTCTACCTTCTGCTGACAGTTCATTCCTTGACACCCTATTTTGGAAAAGAAGTGAAAGCAAAATTGTGGAACATCCATAGCCGTTTTAGTGCTGAAGTTTTGAGAGGAGACAAGTGGTCCCCAAAATTGCAGGGCCTGGCCCAGATTTCCTCTCTTTATCAAGGAGTTGTTCTCTGGTCAGCATGGTCATAGCTGGAGTTTATTACCTCCTCGCTCCAGGATGAACTTGCAGTGACATAGCTGAGGTATTGGATTCAGCACTGGATTAGATTAAAGTTACTGTGTGTCTTGAGTTCAAACCAGATGTCTCAGGAAAAGTACTCAGTGCAACTGATGAGAAAGGCAGGGTGTGACTCTGGAGCCCACGTGGCTGTGCTTCTGGCTTTAAAATGTGAGACGGTAAAGAAGAGACACATCTTCCCTCCTTTGCCTTTTCCAGTCCCCGTCTTCTCAGTCAAGCCAAAGCAGCAGGTTGAAGTTCAAAGCTTAATGTAGTACATCTGAATAAATAGTTCCTCGAAGAAGTGTCAAGAAACTGGCCAGGCAGTGTGCTGTGATTCTGAGCCTTCCATCTGACTCGGATGGGAGGCTGCAACACACTTGAAACTGAGTTAGAGAAGTCTGGAAACCAGAACAGAGCAGTAGCTTATTTTAATTTCTATATATTCTCAGTTGGCCCTTGCCCTTATAATTTTATAGCATTAAAGAGTTTTATATCTGTCATTTTTCACTCGACATTATGTCAAGGCTTCAAAGTGTTTTCATGGCTGTATAATATTTCATCAAGTGGATGAACTCTATGGTATAATTAACTTATCATTGGGGATAAACTGTTGTTATAGATAATGCTGCAATGCCAAGCTTTCCCCCTTCTTTGCGTTGTTTCCTAAGGGCAGTTTCCCAGAAGTGGGGGTATTTTTAGCATTTTTTTTACCAATTAGACTACATAGTGTGTCTAATTGCTTTCTACAAGTTGTACTAACATCCACCTTTGGCAGTATAGGGAGGTTGTGGTTGCTTTGCAATCTTGATACGGTTGCTATTCCATAAAAGCTATCTTGCTCATTTGCTAG